ACACAATTGCACACAAAATTCGATGCCATGATAAAACAGAGCAACTATCTTCCCCTGTGTAAACCAAATGGATTTGTTGTAGTTATATTTGATATGTACTCTGTTAGTTATAAGTGATGATATATGTTAGTTAATGTATTTACATGTTTGTTCATAGCATGTATTGAAATTGTTATTATTTTTGTAAATTACAAGCACCCCCATGAGGTAAGATCTATTTACAAATGCCCCCTTCAGATTTCCATAATTACATCCACCCCTAGTAATTTGTAGATTCCTTACATTAACATCCTTTTATAGGGCTTGTATGTAATTTCTCAAACACAAAGTTTTTTTTTGTAATTACACTTTATATCAGGGAGGTGGTTGTAATTTATCCTTAATTGTTTGGGTAAAGTGTACTTACAAAAAAAACCCTTATTTTTGATAAATTACATCCAACCCCCCGCAGTTTGTAAATTTCTTACATATAACCCCACAAAGGGCATTAATGTAAGAAATCTACAAATTTCAAGGTGTAGATGTAATTATGTAAAAAATGAGGGGCATTTTGTAAATAGATATTACCTCAGGGGTTATTGTAATTTACCCTTTTTATTTAAATTTGTCGGTGCAAGTAAAGGGTAGGGGCATATTCGTCATTTCAGGTGGAAGGGGAAAAAAAAGTGAATCATGTCACTCAACAATACATATAAATGAAATTTTGACATTTATATTAAAAAATCAAGACTAATCAAACAAGGCCTTGTTTGTTTTAATTGAATTGAATATGGATGGTGGGTGTCTTCTGTTTTATCTCGTTTCAGGCATTATAATTCACTAATTCAGTATCTAACGCTCGTTAACTAAATACTCTCTATGTTTCTAAATAAGTGTTTCATTTTACTTTTCATAAAGATTAAAAAACTCAATAAATATATCTTGATTTTAGAAAAATTATATAAAAATGGCTAAAACAACCTTTATTATTTAATAATTTATAAGAGAAAAATAATGATTAGAGTTTCATTAATAAGATTAAAAGAGGAAAAATGCAATTGGAAATCTAAAGTGACAGATAATATGGAACAAAAATATTTTTAAAAAAAGACAGTAATTGTGGAATAGAGGGAGTAGTGTTTTATGGACGAGAGTTCTCTTTGCGGCACAATATTCTAGAACGTGATAATCTATGATTTTTTTTCTTTTTCTGTTTTTGATAATTAATTAACTAATAAAAGAAAAGAAAAATGAATTAAAACGTGACATTTTTGTCCATTTCATTTGAAGTGGGGTGTTAAATAAACAAACACCTTGATAGGGGTATTTTTGGCAAAAAATTTGTGTCACCGTTTGTATTGTCAAGTTGAGTTATTTAATATTTGACCTTTTCAAACATGGAATCAACTCCTTGCTCGGCGGGGTATTTTTGGCAAAAAAAATTTGGAAGCAAAACTTTTTGGTAGATGACGTCTTCCTCCATAGTCTAAACACCACCATCTATATATACATCTTCTTCACAGAAACATGAAAATTAAATAACTCCAGCCAAAAAAAGAAAAGGAAAAAAGAAAAAAGAAAGGAAGAAATGCCGAACTCTCACAAGCGTGATCACGCTATTCACATTTCTGGCGAGCCGAACATCTACAGGTTGGTTTTTAATCTATAAGCTGCAAAATTAATTCATAAGATGATGAAATCAGATTTAATTCAATCTGTTTTTGGTTTTATGTATAGCGACGCTGCTGCGAAGGCAAAGAAAATGCCTTGGTGTATGTACGTGATGATGTACACCCTTTGTATAACAATTGGGTTAGCTTCACTCAAGTATCACATGAATCCAGACAAGTTGTTTGTGGACAACCTCGTACCGCTCTTGTGTTTTATTGCATCAACTGGGTTTTACTGGCTAGTAGAAGAAGCAATGAAGAAATCAACGCTAAACCCGGACGGTAATTGCTTTCTTATATTACACCTAGCTGCTCTGGCTTCCGGTTTTCTTTCAGTGTTGTCTCAGATTTCATTGATCTTTCTTACGTACCCGGATTCTGAGATATAATACCTCTCTCATTGCATGAAAACAGAGGTTATGCCGAACACAAGCGGCGGGGATCATCACACTCGTCGCGATTGTGCCTCCAGGTGCGAAATCTGTTACCTTTATT